TATATATATATATATAAATAATGTTATACATTTATTTTTTTTCCCCAAGGTTTTTCAGTGACGGTTTGGTTTTTAAGTGTGATGCCTAAAATGCTGCCCCTGTAGTCAATCACTGTATCTGAAACAGCCATAATTTGATAATCATATTCATTATGCTGTATAGTGGAATCAAGGCAACTCCAGCATGGACTCAACGGCACAGATATTGGAGGAAAACTTAGAGACGATTTTGAAGGGTGAGGGACTCGAGGTGAGAGAGTTTGATTCAGTCCCTGAACAAGTGAAGCCTGTCACACTGAGGAAAAGCGTGTGTTACATTGTCAGCGGAGTTATCTTCAACTCAAAGGTAAAGATGGTGTCATTCTTGCATGTCTTTAAGAGTCTGTCCAGTGTACATTTATTACAGACAGCCCTCAGCCAAATGTATCTTAATGAGTTCCACCAATGAGCTGTACAGTTTCACTGGGAGCATGACAGTGCTCTCTTTTCACTTGCAGAAAATAGTTTGGTAGCAAGGTACAAAGTTAAAGGCAACAGAGTCAAAGTGGTTTTATTTTACACCTCACAAAATATTTCAATTTAAATCATCAACGTATTCAGATACTTCATCTGTGATAAATATTTCTCAATGTTTCACTCCCAGTGATTAATATTAACTTTTCTAGTGTGTGTTGGTTTGTGTTCATACAGGATGAGGTGTTAATGGTTCAGGAGGCAAAGATGGAGTGTTATGGCAGATGGTATCTCCCTGCGGGTCGTATGGAGGAGCGTGAAAGCATTGTAGAGGCGCTGCAGAGGGAGGTGAAGGAGGAGGCGGGAATAGACTGCCAGCCAATCACACTGCTGATGGTTCAAGAACAAGGACCAAAGTGGGTTCGCTTCATCTTCCTTGCAGAGGAAAAAGGTTAGAATGAGTGACTGACTATAGGGCAAAATTATATTTAAAAAAAAAATAGTATTGCAATATCACAGTGCGACTGTTAAATATCCCAGACTGTGATTTAATTATATGCTACTGGTTTCGGAGTGAAGTGTGGCATTGATTCAGTGTCTCAGAAAGTGTCCGTAGATTTCATCCTAAAAGTGTACGTAGGCACAAAAGCTA